GTGTGGGGACAGGACGGTGCCCTGGGGGACACCGGCCTCCATGGGACGGGTGGTGGAAAGGGAATCTTGGATTTGGATGCGGAATTTTCGGTGGTGTAGGTAGGATTTTATGAGTTTGGTAAAGGATATGGGATATTGGTTGGTGAGCATTTTCATCAGTAGGCCTTCATGCCAAACCGTATCGAAGGCCTTTGCGACGTCCAGGAAGACAGCACCAGTGTACTGTCCCCTGTTGAAGGCCGCCGTGATGTGCTCGGTAAGGCGAAGGATTTGGAGTTCAGTGGAGTGATTGGGTCGGAAGGCGAACTGCTCGTCTGGAATGACTTGCAGTTCTTGGGAGTGGGTTCTTAGACGGGTTAGGATAATTTTTTCTACCACTTTGCTCATAGCCGGGAGCAGGCTAATGGGCCGGTAGTTGGATGGGATGGTGTGATCTTTGTTGGGTTTTGGGATAAGGATTATGTTTGCTGTTTTCCAGCGGGTAGGGAAGTGTCTTAGTCTGAGTGTCGCGTTTGTTATGTTTAGTAGGGCCATGAGGCCCTTGTGTGGTAGTCGTTTAAGTGTCGTGTTATGTATATTGTCGGGTCCGGGGGCTTTTCTGTTTTTAAGTCTGCGTATTGTCAGTCTTAGTTCGTCAGGTGTTGCGGGGGGATTCCATGGCTAGAAATTGGCCTCAATAATTTGGGATTAAAGGGGATTATCCCTCTTTATCCTGCCTCATCTCGTGTAGGCCTGGACAGCCTTCGTAGGTGGGCCCCATCCGTCGTCTACCCCGAGCGCAAATGCGGCCGGTGTAGGCGCTTTGTGGGACCTCCTTTTGTCCTGGTTGGGCCCCGCCGGCTAGGGCCCTTTCTTCTGGCGCTCTTCTTGCTTCGCCTTGATCGCTGATTCCTTAAACTAAGGGTGTTTCCATCCTTGAGTAAGGGATAGAGCCTAGCCCTGGTGGTCTTCGCTCGCGCCACCGTCTCCACGATGTGCGGTTTCCACGTCAGACGCTGGTCCATCGTCACGCCCAGGTATCGTGTTTGTCGATTCAAGGAGATGGGTTCCTGGTATAGTGTCAGTCTGTCGAGGTTTTGCGGGATTTTTCGTTTGGTAAAAAAGCAGTGGTCACAGAGGTTATATTAGAAAAGTATTAAGGTGGATGTGGACGGTCCATTAGTTTCAAAGTCTATGGGCTGAGGTTTCTGTCGTTTTTGTGTTTCCAAAATGTTTCTTTTCTCCTTCTCCTTCTCCACCACAAAACATATAATTCTCCACTATCCACTTCCAGTACTTCCACTTCTTCTGTGCTGTGTCTGTGAGTTCTGTGCCTGTGTTGTTGACTTGTTGAATAATTAGATTTTTTGTAAAATAGATAAGTTGTATATTTATTTATACTATGCCAAATTGCGCCATTTATGGTTGTAATAACCATAATAGAATGAATAAAGGAAATGCCGAAATAAAGTTTTATAGATTCCCTAAAAATAAAGATCTCTCAAGAGAATGGGTTCGAGCTTGTTGCAGAGCAGAAGATAACATCAATCTAAAACATGGTAAGTAAATTTTGTAATAATTTGCCAACTTTTACATAAGAAAATAATTTCAGCTGCTATTTGCTCAAAACATTTCGAAAGTAAATGTTTTTTCACCAGCCTGAAATACAGGTTACTGAATGAAACTCCCCCAAAAAGATTTAGAAATTTACGAAGTGATGCCATCCCAACTTTATTCCTCCCTAAAACAACTGCTACTGCTATTTTGCCGAGAAGTTCTTCAAATAATAATTATCCTAGCAAACTGTCTGAATCTGAAAAGATGCAAGCCGAAAACAATTTGAGAAATCGGCCTATTGTTGCAGAAATTTTGTCGAACTCAAATGACAACCCCAGGTTAGGCCAGATAGGACATCAAGCAGTGGAGGAATCCGTTACCAACAATTTTTCAAAAGAAACGTATGTAATATTAGATATACAGAGTGCTCAGATTTAATCTAGAACACAATCGGTCAACTGTTAGTGAGTCATATTAGTCCAACTAACTTGGAGAAAAAAAATTGTTACCTGGAGTTTTATAAGTGGAAATGGTAAAAGGGCTTATAATAAACCTAAAAAAAATAAATGCGTGAGCAGGGGCGGTGGAGGGTTGATTTGGGGGGTTGAAAAGTTATGAAAAATTGTATCAATGGGATTTCTGGTGGAATTGTATCAATGGGATTTCTGGTGGAATTTTTCATAACTTTTCAACCTCCCAAATCAACCCTCCGCCGCCCCTGCTCACGCATTTATTTTTTTTTTTGTTTATCGTAAGCCCCTTTACCATTTCCACTTATAAAAGTCCAGGTAACAATTTTCTTTTTTTTCCCTCTAAATGAGTTATTTTGATCGGCCTATATAGGTAATTTCGATGATTACTTATCTTTATACAGAGTGTTTCAATATTCCATTTACATGGAGTCCCAAAGTTTCCTGGGATCAAAATGAGCAGATTTAACTAAATTTATCTCTATCCTAAGTTGCTTCATTTAGCCGCTAGAGGTATTCAAAGTAGACAAGAAAATATTTTTTTTTTCAAAAAACAGATGCCTTGTAAGATTTTATTGAAATTTTGTACAGTAATATTTTCATATAGATGTAACTTTATGACAGTAAGTAAAGTAGTTGGATTAACAGAACTTTTGGAAAATACCTCTCCTTATAATTTTGTCGGGAGTCGTGCTATAGCTTTTATTTTTTTTACCTTAAAGGTGAAGGATTTGTGAAACATTTTTCTCTCTTGTAAAATATTTGTATTTGCAATAGTTTCAGTTTAAATAATTTGTTTAATAAGATTATAATGCATTATCAATTCAATCTTGAAATAATTACATCATTTTGAAAGTAATTTATTCGATAACAAACAAAAAACTTGTAGTGTACTGTCCTCTCATAAGAACTGTTCAATATTGCAGTTGTTTTTTGTAATACTTAAAATTAATTCTACGTAAAAATTTAAAATGCACTTCTCAAGAATCCTTCATTCTGCAAATTGTGAACAGCATATTCAATTCTGTTCCACTCTTGTCTTTCATTAACAATATTCTTCTTTTTAAGGCCTCTCTCAAATAAAAATATCACAGGGATTGAAGTTAGGTGAATGTGGTGGCCAGTGAACTGGAACATTGTGTCCCCTGCTAGTCAGCTTCTATATTAATCTGACACTGGTTGCTGGATTCTCTTCCATCATTCCCAGTATTTGTTTTTTTCAAAATAGGTATTCGAGCTTGATGAAGACATCCGGCATTACTTCTGTTAATTTTAAACCAGTTTCTTGATGGTTTCATTCAATATTTCTGATAATTTGATGATTTGGGATTGGACGATTCGAATATCCGAATCAAATCAAGTCTTCATATGTCTGTGTCAACTATGGCACTTTGTTTCTGTAGATGCAAGACACCCTGTATATAAAAAAATAATCATCAGAATTGTATAAGACATCAAAACTTAAAGAATGTGTTCCGGATCAAATCTGTACACATTGCAGAAAATATCTGATACTAATATAATAATTATCCTATCCATTTATCAAATAACATAATGAATTGTAATATTTTAGGAGTGAGGTAATCAAGGAAATGGCAAATATGAAAATGAAAATTCTGTCATTAGAAAAAGAAGTGGAGGATTTGAAATTAAAAAATAAAAAACTGAAAAAAGATAAATTATTGTCCGATTTAAAAGTATTAAGTATCGATATTGCATTGAGTAATCATTTCACCCCAGGTCAGATTAAGAAAATACTTAATACAAAGGGAAATTATTTATCTAGGGCCTTGGAAGACTTTGGATCTAAAACTTCTTTGCTTTGAGGAAAAAAGTTGTTACCCTTTGCCTGCTTTAAGTATGTTGAGAAAATGGGCATTAATCTTAAAATCAGACCCATCATATTGAGAGATGTCCGTCTTATGAAGCATAAATCTGTGATGCTCAGTGATTTTGAAAATTTATGTTGCTTGTCATGAAAATGTTGATGTAATCTATATTTTCAATAAGTTGACCAAAAGGAGTAGCGGCTGCTTGGATCATATAAAGTGTTTGGTGGTAACTGTAGAGGTTTGTGTTTGGAGTAGAAACAACTGATTTTTTACAACAACGATGCACCTATGACCAAATATATTTTAATAGATGTAATAAACTAAATTACATCATACTGAATATGCTATAGTTTCTATTACAAGTGGTATGAGGTATTGGAAATGTTTATTTTTCGGTCATAAGTGAATGTTAGTTATGAATAAAGTTGTTACTTGAAGGATTTTGTACAGACTGCAAAAGTTGAATTTAAAAAATTACTTACAAAATAAATATGATTTGAATGTTAATAGAAGCAATCAAACAAGAAACAGTTTAATCAGCTGGCACAACTTTCCTCAAACTTCTGCAAAAGCGGTGGATTTATATAGTTTGGGAGGTTTTGTAAATAACATGAAATAAAAGGAAACCAGTAAAATTGTGAAACTTTTAAATGACCGGTTTGATATTTTTTATGCTCAGATGAAATATGGTACCCATCTCGGAATGAATACATTTGGTGTTGGCTTGGAAAAGTAAATAAAAACTACTGACATATCTGAAATGACTATTGCAAGACCGATAACTATTTTACAAAGGAAAGAAATAATAATTACAACTAATATATTCTGAACAACTTTTGTTTTTCCTATATTCACTGTATGGGGGCAGCAAATTATCCAACTCGTGGATATCAAATATAGGTTCAGTAGTACATTTTTGGTAACCACTCACACTTCACTTCATGAACAAAAATACTGAAGAACCCTCTGAACCTTGCCTACTTGACCATTACAAATGGAGAAAGTGAATCCTGTCATTGGATATGAAATTTGCATGTCACATAAATTTTTTCACTAGACACCACAATAGACCTTTTTAGTAGTGATGCGAAATAATAGGCAACCCCATGGTGCACATTGTCATGAAAAAAATGTTTTCTTTGTCATGACCTTAAATATCGAGATATTCTGGCAATATTAGAAATATTTAAGAAGTTTCAAACCCTAAGTGACAAGCTAAAATAATTTATAGAACAATATTGACTTTTATAGTAATTAATAAATTTAAATTATATCAATGTTACTGAGCATGCCCATTAAAGATAATTTAATGTAAACGAAGTAACCTCGCAACAGGAGATCATTCCAGAAAAGTTTGGTTGTGGTTACGTCTATATCTATAATAAACCACTTGAAGAAAAAAACACTCGATAAACACACTGACAGCACAGCACCAAGAAAACAATAAAAATACTCGATTGAAGTAGAAAATGCCAGGATTAAACAAAAGAAGAGAAAATAAGTTAATGATGACATTGATGCCATATCACCAAGATCTCACCTGCGTATGAGGGATATGCGTTGGGAATAACACAGCTAATCTTAAATTTTTTATTTATTTAAATTTAGGAATATTCTTTTATATTGTTTTTTGTAAGTTTTAAGCACTTTGAAGTTATTCATTTCTATAGTATCTATGTAAATGGTACACAAGATTTGGTCTGTACAATTTCAACTATGATAATTTGCGGTTGCCTAAATATGTGATGTCACTAAAACAGTCTATTTGACAATACAAATTCTTTAGCTGCAATGGAGGATACAGATTTTTCTTATTACACATTGCATTCTTCAAATTATGATTTGGGTCTCCTGGAGCTCTTCATAAATTGGCTTTGTTTCTGATCATGGAAAACTTTTCACAAATAGATTTAAGGTATATATTCAAAAATAAATATACCAAATTGATTTTAGGGACACATTAAAATGAGTGGAGTCCCAGATTGGATAGAATTTTTATCCAAAGATCATTTTATATATTGCAGTAATTAATTGAATTAGCTCATTTAGTGGGAAGTGAATTCCAAAAATATTACAATATTTTTTGTAATATATTTAATAAATTTATTGACAGTGTGAAGAGGACATCAGTTCAAATTTCCATCAAATTTCCCCAGGAAGTGATATGTCCAATTAGACTTAGGACATTTATTAGATCAAGACATCTCAATAAAATAAGTTTTGAGAATTGCAGACAAAAATTATAAAAAAAATGTGTCATAATTGAATTAATTTTGCATGTACAGACTTATTTTTAAATAAATCTTCTAATAATCAAATTGTTTCTTTATTTTATCTTAATAATATAATAACTGAAGATGTTTATTATGTAGCAACAGCACTTGAATTGAGTAATAAGTAAAATGACAGGAATTACTTTTGCAAGAAAAAGTGTAAAGATAAAAATACAAATTTCCCATTTCTCTTTGACTTTAAATTAGAAAAAATTAAATGAATTTATTATTCCTCTATTTTTTCCATTGGCTAGTCTGTAATCAATTGACGATAATTCTGGAACTGGAATCATTTGATATACCCACTTATATAAGTAACAGAGAAAGTGTATAAGATACATATAGATACAACATACTTAATGTTTAAAATTAATTAAAATATGTACCTAATCATGTAGAATGTAGATATTTCTTGTACCTTCTCTATATGAATGGTTAGATTTTATTTGTCTAGTATCCAAAATTTGTGTTGTGTTTCTTTAAAACAAATTGTACGAATAGTTCAATTTGACCAAATTAAAAAAATATTGAAATTAAGATTGTTATAAAAGTTAATTAATGCGTCAAACTAATAAATATTATGGACATTTAGTTGGGATTTTTTAGTCATTGTAAAATAGCTTGCATATTTTTTTATTAAGTTGTTAAATATTACCTTGAATCGCAGGAAAACGTATCCAGATGCAGATCTACAATAATTTTATATGTCAAAAATGTTTTAGACTTTCAGCTTTTTTGTTTGCTGTAGATATGATCCACTACCCTTTTAAACATGATAGAGATATATCTGAGTTTCTAAATTGACTATTTGAATTTAAAATATTAAATATTTGATTTATTGTCTTGATAAACTTTCTGGTTCCCTTACAGTAGGTACTTCAAATGTTCATGTTTAATTAAGGCGTATTCCTAAAAAAGTTAGAGAATTAGAGAGTCGGTAAATTTTCTTCTGGTGAAAATATGTTGACAATACCGCCAGAATAATAAGAAAATGCACTAGATTTAATATTCGTTTGTTTTTCTAAATGAAAAAGTATTAGAAAAGGATAAGGGAAATTAAAGTATCTGAACCATTTTTGTGATCATTTTCATAGGAAGTCGATAAAAAGGTTGGAAAATATCATTTAATGTTTGGAAAACTTTTAAGGCGGGTATCCACTTGTGGCAATACTGTGTGGTTTCGGTTGTATCATTCATTCCGTAACGTAACAAAATAAGGTTACGTGACGACATAGGAACATAAACTCGCAGTATGTACCTGACTGCAATAATGGATTCATCACTGCAATTGCAGTTAGCAGCATCCTATATTTTTATTCCATCATACAATTTTGAAGAATAAGAAACGGAAATCTACGGAAATCTTTTCTTTACTCCACTTCATGGCACAAACACAGAAAAATACACTATTCCTAGTCACTGCAGAAAACAGACTGATCCCAGACCATATACAAAAGACTGACGAAACAAAAAATAAGACAAAATCACATATGCAACAGGCAACGTTACGGCCACATGTTGACATGTCTCAACATGTGGCAGAAAGTACTGTTGCATTCCTTTGATGCGACGACTAAAAACCGACAACTGATGGTTCGTCCCGAATTAGTTACACGTGTCAAATTTGTTACACATATCGTGCAACAATTTTCCGTCTCCGCTAGCTGTAACATAACATGTTCAGTGTTACGTTACGGGGCATTTGACACAAATTGATACCCGCCTTTATAGTTCACTATTATTGATATTGCATGTTCTTTCCTGGATTGAAATCTATAATTATATCTATATCTAGGAAAAATAACCTAGCCATTGAAATGACATTAAGTTTTTTATGAACAGTTAAAAATATGAACTAACAATCATAAAAAAAAACAAAAACCGCAAAAAAAATTATTGGATATTATGGGTGTAATTTAATGCTTGTCGAGTAGTTTTCTGTAATGTCATAAATAATTTAGCTTTTACAGATGCCTTAATATATTTTCTGCTTAAATATAGAAAAAGGTTGATTAGAGCATTGAAAGAAATTTTGAAAACATTAAAAAAATCGTAAATTTAAGTTATGTTGGAAAATATCCCTTACCTTTAAACTATTCAATCTAAATTGTATATAAATTTTGTTTCAACGTCATTGAATTGTATATGTATACGTACCTATTGTTTGAATAATTTTATTAAATTCACTGATTTCTAATTGCATTTTACGAATTTCCCTCTTTTATACTATAGTTTTCCACGGATCCACTTTATGTTAACTTTCTATATAGAACGTTTTCCGAATGTGTTCTTTTATCGATTTTTTTTTATTTTTGTGGTTTGAGGTAGTATTTTTAAAGCTCTTTTCGTAAGTAGTTGAACTTACTTAAAACTTTATGAAAGTTTTAACAGGGGATTTAGACCGGGTGTTGCACTTTTTAATTTATTGTACTTGCTTGAAAATTACCACCGTTTTTAAAGTTTGTATATTTTTCGACATATTTTTAAGTAAGAAGTTATTAGAGTTTGTATTTATCTTAGTTTCGACTAATTATTCCGTCCGGCTGTTTCCAGAACCCTCCTTATCCGTCCATCTGGGAACAAAACGTCGGCCTTTCCCGCCTGTTCCTGGAACCCTTTTTCCAGAAATTTCGAATGTCGGCCTTTTCCCTCTATTTGTGCAGTCCTACAGTCCTTGATGAATATCAGAAATAACCTACTGCCTCAAGCTTCAAAATCTGCACAGCTTTAAATTTCTGGGTTTCTGATAAAGCCTTACAAATGAACCTATCTGAATCATGGTATGCTTGAAATCTTTATAGGCACTTGCGAATGTGTCGAAAAAATGGACTTTGTACCGGACCCACTCTATTGATTTAGTTTTATAATTGAGGCGATTTTCTCAACTTTTTGCAACCGCATTCAGTGATTTCAAGTATGACTGTAGACTCCTTTACAGGACCACATTCAAAGAGAAACCCACTAAATGTAATGAAGTTGTAGCAGATTCTGATGCTTCGAGGAGTAGACAGTTTCTGCTAACAATCCAGAATTGCGGAGTTACAGGACTGAATTGTCTTCGTATGTTCAGGACATGCCTGCGGTATTGACTGAGTGCTGAATGTATGGGATCTATGTTGTGCAAAACTGTACTTATCTTATCAACTTCGACGTCACCTACTACATGGGTGTTGTATAATAATGAAAAAGTAATATTAACGGTCGATAGAAGGAATCACAAAAAACAGGCACTTAGGTAGGAAATTCTGGAAGGAAGCCTAAATAGTCGAAAATAAGTAGTTGAAGTGAGAACAGTGTGGAGATCGGAACAGTAAGACGACCGGCGGGCAGTGTGACAAATTAGTGTAAAATTAATTGTTTAGAGTGTTATTAGTTGGCAGGTAATATTCTTTAAGTACTTTGTTGTTAATTGTTCTATATAATCTTATGATTGTGATGATTATAGATGTTTCATGATAATAATTCTTTGTAAGTTTAGCTTCCATTGCTTTATGCTCAAGGGCATATATTTTTCCAAAGTAAAATTGTTATAATTATACTTAAAGTTTGCCCATTATTTATTTCATGTTAAAAATATGTGTATTGTCCTGATTGCCAGACATTACAATAACGACTTCTTTGTTTCACATCTAACTTGTTTTTGTCATGATTACGTTGTTCGAAAAACATTGATGTTTCATGATAATAATTCTGTGTATGTTTAGCCTTCATTGTCTTACGCTCAGGGGCGTATATTTCTCTAAGATAAAATTGTTACAATTATTATTAAAGATTGCTCATTATTTATTACATGTTAAAATATGTATATTGTCGTGACTGCCCAGATATTGCAATAACGACTTCTTTGTT